AACTAAAATTGAACTCAGTTACCGCCACATCTCAGGTAATACCGGCCAAAGGATTTGAACGTCCTCGTTTCTTCCCTGTTTCTGTTTTTCAAAATTGAAAAATAGCTATATTTGCTAAAATGATAAAAATATAGAATATATGTATGTGGGCGGCAGGAAGCTGGTCACAACGCGCCCAAACTTATTGGGAAAGAGAACAGTTTTGGAGGCTTCTTTCGTTCTTAAAGAATTATTTACTACATGCGATTGACGAAAGCCTTCGTACAAGCAGGTTTGCCCGAGAGGTTAAGGGGGAAGACTTAAGATCTTCTGCACATAAGTACGCGTGGGTTCGAACCCCACAGCCTGCACTTTTATTTTTCGATACAGTAGCCAACTCATCACATTTGTATCTCCCTTTTCACGGTAGAATCCGTCTAAAGGGAAGGACAAATTTTACAGCATCTTTTTTAGGTTGTCTAAAATCTACAAGTAAAATCACGAATACGGATGGATAACTTGGGATGTTTGTTTTTTATCATGTTTCTTAACCAAACAAGAGATAAAGGCTACTTCAGAAGACGAGTCATCTAACCTGATAAAGGTTGGACAATCACATAGGACATCTGATCTACCTCCAGCTTCCTTTACTGTGAGTTGTGCCTCAGCTCGGATCTCAAATTCCATCGATGCCTCATGTCCAATTTCAAACCTTTTAAGCTCATTAGTTGCAAGGGGGTTGATATCTGCCAAGTCGGGAGTCATCTTCACCAGTTGCTTCTGTTTCTCGTTCTTCAGCTGTCCATGTATCATCAACTGGAGATGAGGTAGATGTTTCATTATCACAGTCAACCACCGCAGAAGTAAGAAACCTCACTGGCTTGGAGTTTAAGCCTGATGTAATCCGACGATTTAATCTGTGATCAGCGAACTATGGGATGATCTTTCGCATCAGTGCAGCACTTGTCGCCTTAGGCTTAGACATCAGGAACAATTTAATGGACACTGGGTATGGCATGCCACCAGGGAAAAGGAACAAAATGGTTTAATTCAGGCATCAAGAAGATGGTATGTGCAGTCAAGTGAGTGGATTGCTGGCAAGGTTGAATATTCAACAGAATCTGAGTCTACCAATTCTGTAGACGCATCCCGTGAGAAAGCAGACAAGACTGAACTGGATGGTGGATACAATGGTTCCATCAAATGAAAGTCAATGCTTGTGTGTGTTCTGTGGCGAGCTATTTGAAGATGTTTAGTGTTGGGAAAGGGATGAGTGGATGTTCAAGGGGGCTGCTTACCTGACCAACTCAGACAATGATGTTGAGAGGGCCGGTAGAAATACACAACTGCCTGGGGTCCCATTATCCATGCAAAGTGTATGTTTACCGAAGGCCTTAATAATCAGTGTCCCACAGATGGTAATGCTAACAGTCTGATTTAAAGGTTTTTTCTCTTGTAAAGCAAAGGAGGTTGAGCCCCCCATGATCCGACGTAAACAAGTGGGCAACATAATGGATATCACCATGTGATGTTTAAATAGAGCTCCATTCTGTCCATTTAAGAAACGGGCTCGACATTACCGGCCATGTTCTAATAACATTATTAACGGTTCTTTTTTTATATCAGCCATCTTCCTTTTGAAAGTTTGATATTTCCTCGTCAATTGCTTATTCAACCTGAATACGATTTGTTGGGTAATTGATAGTGCTTGTTTCATTTTAGCAGGAACAGCTTTAAAACTTTTAGTGCAAATCATCTGAGACTGGGTGGACGGTGGTGTTCTTGAAGCTTACAGGGGGGTGCCAGGCTTGGTATCTCCAAAGCTTTTTAAATGACATGTCACTCTATAACTGGTCTTGTCACCAAACAAATTTTGTGCTTTATCATGTCAAAAGTATCTCTTAGTATCTCAATCAATCAAACTCGTCTTTCCTTATGAGTATAGAGATGACGGATGTGAAGCCTGGCTTCGATTGATGGGTTCCAAACGCAGCTTTTTAGCGCCACATAACTGATGAAAGACTCAATCATAGATTTCACGGCCGACGACTGCCGCTATGTGACGTTCTCCCAAATTGCAGCCACTATTCCTCCCTGGAAGCAAGAGCAGGAAATGGCCAGGACCTGTACTATGGCTATTATTTTAAAAACAAATTGCTGACAAAATAGTGAGAAGTTTCCAAGGCACATGACGGCAGAAGCTACGCGTGAGAGATATGCAGAAATAATAACGAAGATTTAGATCACATCCTCAGAAGATTCATCCCTGTCAGCTACCACTGCTGGCATCTTGTAGTGCCACATCACTCCCTCGCCTCGCCGTCCTTCCCATGACGTATATATCCTGTGAATACAAAATAATTTCCATATAATATTTATATGTGTGATGTGTCCAAGAGTGCTAGGTGGGGTTCCGAATAATTGCATTAAAAAACAACCGGACAATCTGATGCACGCCTCTTTCCGTCGACAATTAACCACATAGAATTCAGGTTCTGTTGTCACGTATTTGCATATGCTGATGTGCATATTTTGTGGACATTCAACTCACTGATTATTATTTTAGAAAATGGTTTCTCGACGGTGGGTCTCTCACTATACATATAATAATATATAGAGGCGCGCTCAGGTGAGGTTGCAATATGTTCAATTCTGGTTGGGCTGGTTGATGCAGCCCCTTCCTCTCCCTAACCTCACCTTGCCTTTGGTTATTCATTAATTATACACTAACGCCCTAACTGGACCATCCCCATCGTGAATTCGTGATGTTCTCCACGACTCGCTCCATGCTATTACTTGGTGTTGGTGGTTAGGATATTCGTTTTATGCCCTCCGCGCCACCCTTTTGTTCTGTCTTAAATAGCACTTCTCTCCACCACAGACTTTAGCGGCACAACATTCAGCTGCCATCACCTCGTTTCATGATTATTGCGTGTATATTAAAAAGTTACTGAATATTTTTAAATGACAACACTATGTAACAATATTTGATCAAGGTATTCTTTTATACATTCCATATAAAAGCCAATTAAAAGTACTTTGGCTCTGCAGGCTGCATTAAAGAGTAAAAATAGTATTAGAATTTATTTTTTAATTCTCGCATGTTATTCCTAATATAAAAGTTAATTTGACACTTAATTTAGTCATAATATAATGTTTCAATTTATTTTGTCTATCATATTTATTTATTTAAGATAGTCTTTGTAGTGATTGTATATGTTAAATGTTTTATTAAATAGTAGTTGTAGTCAGTATAATTATTTATTACGAATAAGTAATTTAACTAATTTTTTAAATTTATTTAAATTAATCAACTAACTCTAATATTAAGAATCAGAAGTAGTAGTTTTTTTTATTTTGAGAAAAAGTTGACGGTTTTATGTAAACAGAAGAAATAACTGAAACCAATAAACTGGTGATTATAATGCATGTTATTACTAGGGAGACAACATAAACAACATGAGTGGAGAATATAGAAGCGGAAAAGAAGTTTGTATAAACAAGCGGAGAATATTTTGGCAAAAAACAAACAAGTGGAGAATAATGAATAAGTGGGCACACCATAACGGTGGTGTGAAGTGCAATAACGGCGTTGCGGATCGGGTCTGTACTCCGTGTGTTATTTTAATCTCCCATTTTCTTTATTCGCGGGGGCTTATTCCCTGTATTTGCAGAATAATAAAACGCAGCGATGGATGGTCAGACGGTCTATTTTACAGAAAGAGCACCATCATAAACAAAATGAAAAATAGATCGGATAAAATACGATTAAAACTAAAAGGAGGCTATCAGAAATTAAAAAAGAAAAAAATTAGAGGAGTGAGGAGTCTGTCATGTCCAGATTCATGCTCGAGCTTGATATGAGGTCTATATCATTCGTATTTAACATAAACGATCCAAAATTAAAAATTTTAAGCCATAAATTTTTAGACAGGACTAACCGGGAGAATTTATCCTATTTTATTTTACAAACATATTGTAGAATAAAATATATTAAAGACAGAAGAAAAAAATTAAATGAAAATGAAGCTGGGGAATTATAATATAGATAGTCCAAAATTAAAACAAAGACGGGCTGGTTGGCTTAGAAAACATGGTTAAAGCGGAAGGATGCTGACTCCTCCGAATTTGGCGACTCCCACTCCGTTGAGCGGTTCAGATTGTGTGCTCAGTCAGGTTACTCAGAAAACCGTGCTGCGGATTTTCTGGTTAAATTATATCATACTATAATTATTAATAGTTTTTGTATTCTTAATCAACCTCCACCTCTGTATTGTAATAGTGATAAAAAGGTTTAGTTATACTCCCTTCATCCTAAATGTAAGACTCTTATATATATAAAAGTCTTATATAAAGATCTTACATTTAAGATTGGAGGCGTAATATTTTGTTTTGAGTAATGATATCTGGGTTTGCATTGAAAAAAGATTGAAAACTGAATAATTTAACTCGGGGAAAAGGAAAAAAAAGAAGAAGAAAAAAAGAAAAGAAGAAGAACAGGGAGGGAAGGGTTTAGGAGTGAGAATAAAAACCGAAGAGAGGTACTTCACCCAAAAAAACACGGAAGAGAGGTAGGACAAAAGTGGGTGATAGAGGAAACGAGGGGCGGGGGACGCGCGGGTGGGAAGCCTAAACCCTTCTGCGATCATGCGGCGCATCTGCTGGTTTTTGACTCCTCCCATTATTCCCTCCTTGCCCCTCCCTCCTTCCCAAACTCACGTCCATTGCTCACGTGTTCTCCCTTCATTCCAGATCTCACATTTACTATATCATTATTTCTAATTAACGTGAAATGTGGACACATACAAGTATTCTCCTTTTCTCAATTCAAAGGCTAGCATTTTAAGCCCCGCAATTTGGTTTTGATCCAGCGCTGACCGACATGGACTCTCCATCCGCGAATCGAGAGGCCATCTAAACACTAATTACCCCAAGGGCAAAAGAGTAATTCAAAAGAGGAGGCTTCTCTGTAACCTACCTACCCCCTCCCCACGCCACCCTCTTGAATAAATTCTCCCCCTTCTCCCCAACCCTCACCAGTCTCTGTTCTTCTCATTTTCGTTACTTCCCTGCATCCGACGCCGCATTTCGCCTCCCACCATGTCTTCCTTCGTCAGCAAATACCAAGGTATCATTTCTCTCCTCTCCTTGTCCCTCGCTTCTCATTTTGCTTCCATTTTTTTCTTTCCCCCCACATTCTGTCACTTCCCACTGCCTCTACCATCGTCCTGTCCTAACTCTATTGTTAAGCGCTTCTTACACACTCATTCCCCACGCCCGGTCACCCACACAAGAAAAGAAGTGATCTTTCTTACTCTGCGAGTCTTCTCTTTGCGATCGTACTCTTGTCCGCACTTTGATCATCGACTGCGGACGATAAGTATTCTGTTCATTCAGATCTGCATCGTTGAATCAGATCTGTGTTTCACAACTTTTTCGAATGGAGAAGTAAAACCGTGCATCGTCTTTTGTGTTTTCGTTGGATAGAATTTTCAGATTTCATTGCTCGTGGAAGTTTATAGTTGTCCTGACCAATAATGCTCTCTAATGCTTGTCTTCCTTCGCCTTTGGCATTCACTTCGCGATCTGCCTTTGGTTGGGCTGATGTGTGTAAATATGAATGGGAAGATCCAGCTATCCTAAGATTTCTATCTGCTTTGTTCCTGTTGACATCTACAGTCACGATCTGCTATCATCCTAGCCTTCTCTGTGTATAACAACCAGTCAGGTAGGGTTTGCTCAATGATTACCGGATTATGGATGAGCTGGCCCCTACTGCGTCGTGTTGCTTCCTTTTATGTTGTATTGAGCTTGTAGTGTTTCGCTATGTTGTACATCTACTATTAATTATGCTTTTACCAGGTTTCTCTGTTTGGTTCATTGAATTTGACATCGATTGCAGACGAACTCATTGCCAATGCTGCTTATATTGGCACACCGGGAAAGGGTATTCTTGCTGCTGATGAGTCTACTGGTACAATTGGCAAGCGTCTTGCTAGCATTAATGTTGAGAATGTTGAAACAAACAGGCGTGGCCTTCGTGAGCTCCTCTTCACTGCTCCTGGTGCGCTACAGTACCTCAGTGGTGTGATCTTGTTTGAGGAAACTCTATACCAAAAGACAGCTTCAGGTACTGGTGCTTTTTGATTGTGATGTCTGGTGAACGCATTGCAATGCTTTTATCATTTCATACAAGATCCACATACCTAGTTTTATCATGTACTTACCGAGAGCTATCTGCCTTGATATTGTTAGGTTTTCTGCTAACTGTTTTCAATACCTTTGTGTTATGATTCATCTATGATTTTCGGCGCATAGTAATTGTTCAATGTTAACTTGCGTAGGAAAACCCTTTGTGGATGTGTTGAAGGAAGGGGGAGTCCTCCCTGGTATTAAGGTTGACAAGGGTACAGTTGAGCTTGCCGGAACCAACGGGGAAACCACCACTCAGGGTTTGGATGGTCTTGCTCAGCGCTGCCAGAAGTATTATGAAGCCGGTGCACGATTTGCCAAATGGCGTGCTGTGCTCAAAATTGGCCCGAACGAACCATCCGAACTAGCTATCCATGAGAATGCTTATGGTTTGGCTCGTTATGCGGTCCTATGCCAGGAGAACGGCCTGGTTCCCATTGTGGAGCCCGAGATCTTGGTGGATGGACCTCATGACATCAACAAGTGTGCTGCAGTGACCGAGCGAGTTCTTGCGGCTGTCTACAAGGCTCTAAATGATCACCATGTGCTGCTGGAGGGTACTCTGTTGAAGCCCAACATGGTGACCCCTGGATCAGATGCTCCAAAGGTGGCTCCAGAGGTTATTGCCGAGTACACTGTTAGAGCTTTGCAGAGGACTGTTCCTGCTGCAGTTCCTGCCATTGTTTTCTTGTCTGGTGGTCAGAGTGAGGAGGAGGCAACCCTCAACTTGAATGCCATGAACAAGCTCAAGGGGAAGAAACCATGGTCTCTTTCTTTCTCTTTTGGAAGGGCACTTCAGCAGAGCACTCTCAAGGCTTGGGCAGGTAAGGATGAGAACATTCCCAAGGCCCAGGCAGCACTCCTCTCAAGATGTAAGGCAAACTCACAGGCGACTCTGGGAACCTACAAGGGCGATGCCCAGCTGGGTGAGGGTGCTGCAGAGTCTCTCCATGTTAAGGACTACAAGTATTAAGAGGTGTGGGCTTCTTACCGCTCTTCTTTTGAGGCTTTTTACACCATTGGCGCCAAGGTTTTAGTGTTCTTCCATAGTTTTGAGTCAACTGTCTTGCTTACCAGCCTCGTTCACAAGAGGGTTATATGGTAAAACAAAAATAATTGTGTAAGCTACACTGAATTGTTTTTCGGCTTTTATAATTTCCCTAGATTGCAGTCACCCCTCAGTTTTTATTTGCTGTTTGCAATGAAGATGAATTCTATCATTTTATAAGCTGAGTTTGAATCAGACAAAATATTTTGGTACCAGAATAGGATGAGATTTGCTCGCGCACTCTTTCTTTGTCAATTACACGCGAATCATCTTTGTTGCTGGCGTTTGTTGGTGATGCTGGTTTAAACAAGGAGTCTCTAATGGGTCACTGTTTTCGCTGAACTGAGCGACCGCTCCGGAGCAGCCAACTGGCTTTTATCGGCCAATTTTGGCATCTATGTTTTGATATAGTGTTAACGCCCGGCCAGATTTCATTCACGACAAACGATACGGAAATGACTGCTTGCTGGGTTGTTTATTTATTCTATGGAATTAATTTTAAAACTGAAGTGAAGCTTGCACTGCCACTGCCACATTTGCCTCACGGTACCTTAAAAGTTGTTCCATTTCTGCTCGGTTTAAAGGGGCTTTCAATGGGTTCCCCATTTCTTTCTTAGGATTCGCGCTTTGTGCTTTCTCTATTTCGATGTAATATGATCACCATCTTGTTGATTTGCCCTAATCATGTTTTAGTTCCAAGTGTCCACAAACCATCGCCATGAATTGCGTATTTATATTAAATTTGGGTCCATTCGGTTTGACTATGTTATTACGACATACTTTAATGTTTTTTATTCTAAAAAATTCGATAGTTCAAAAAATCTAGTTTTTCAATTTTTTAAAATCAAATTAGTGAAAAAAATAAAGAGGTTAAATCTGGATAATTTTCCATCGCATAACTATTGCCACTTAATTTGAACAAAACAAACCATGTGCTTTTCGATACCTAGGGGGCAAGGGCAGTGAGGTTTCAGCTGTAACGATAGGTGGGGTGAGCATGAAATGCTGCAAATCATGAAGGAGATGATAGGCGAGAGAAGTGGCAGAAAAGAGGAAAGGGTTCATTTTTGTGCAAAACCCCGACTTATTGGGCTTTGCAATGGGCCCTTTGACTAGTGGTGGGACGGTTGTGCCATGACTTTCACCTTTTGGTGAAGATGGGCCCATTACCGATGACTTCCTTTTTTTTCCAAGCCCGCCAGCCCCTTCACCTCTAGTGCGATCATTACATTCATAAATCTGCAAACTAAAACGGATACTTTTCACAGAATCATACCATTTTGGAAAGATGCGAAACCATAAAAGAGTGTGTGTGTGTGTGGGGTAAAGATGCGTCACTGCGTGACTGCCACTCGACGAGGTGGCAGAGGATGGCTGGGAAAGTCGGGCAAGTGATGGCATGCCCACTCACAGAAAGTTGGCAAAACTGCAAAAGCATCATTCCTAATCTGGATTCTGCAATTTCACTGACCGAGAAAGCTCCCCCTAACACCACTTTTTATTTAATTTCCTTATTCTTTTTTCTCTGTAGATTATTTATATATGATAAAAAAATGGCAGTTTTACTGATAATAAATAATTTTATATTTTAAATTAAAAAGTAATACATATAATTATGCTTTAACTAATGGTACTTCTTGCGTCAACTCACACTTAGCCAAGTTAACGGTTGCAATTCATAATTCCCGGGGTAAAAAAAAAACTGTGGTGCACGAGTACATCCCAAAAGAATTGTGATGTGTAGACTGCAGAACAAGACGCTGAAACGTAAAGTTAGAGCACCATATCTACTTGTTTAATTTTTACAGTTTACACTCCATTCAATTCAAGTTGAGTTTTTCAATGGAACGGGGCTTAAAAATTATATAAATCGAGAATAAATAAAAAATAACAACGTGTTTCCTGCGAAATATTAGCATTATTAATAATTTTCCTATGCGAAAGGTGATGCGAGGTGAATCTACCAATTCGACATCTCTCTCGTGGATATTTTTAGATTTTCTTCCTTGAATTGTTTATGTAGTATTAATCTTTAATACTAGTAATTCAAATATATTGAATTTTAAATTTATAACTGCGAAGCCACTAAATTTGAGGACTGGGAATTAAATTAAAGTGAAGGGAAAGGTGCAGAAAAACTGGGAAAGTCAAGTTGTGAAGGGGAAGTGTGATGTACCTGGTGAATCCCAGTGTAAGAGTAAGGTTTCCTTTTTGCAGGAAGCTTCCCTACTCTTTCCCAACGTACGGACACAGATGTGAGTGTGGATGACCTAAGCATCTGAGAATACACAATACACGGCAAGCCTTACGATTCAAGTTAACACTTCACGGCACCAAAAAGACCCCCTGCACCTGCCACTGCTATGCACTATTCACTATTCACTATTCACCATCTCTTCTTGTTTTTTTTTTTGGTCTGAAACCATCCCTTCAATCTCTACAAAATATATATCACGTTCGTTCCTACAATTACCTTCCCTCTACTCCTGCATGCACCAAATCTCTTAGCCACGTTGAAATGTCAGCTTGGATGTTCTCTGGTCTAACACTTAAGGGAAGCTTCTTCGCCTTACAATAAAACACCTCCCTTCTGCCCGCCAAATCCTAAACTATCAGTGCCGCTTTGATTAGGACGCTGCATTTTATGTTCTTTCCATACACTAAACTTCAACGTACGTACCTTTCTTATGTGTAACTATGAACCAAGACTAATTAATAGTACGGCGATTTGGATAAAAGTCGACGTAATAATCATATAATATCGATATATCTCAACAATATCCGTGGACACATCCATCTGTGATCCTGTACGGCCATAAAATGAAAAGAAAAGAAGACAATGAAAGAAATTGCCTCCTTACTTTTCTGTGAGCAGAAATAAATTGCTTCTGTATTACATGCATTCAGTACGGACACATCAGACCTGTACTGTCCTTAAGGATAAATTAAAGATTTACAAAAGGAGGAGAGCACGCAAGACTGACAAAGAAATCGAAGTAATGCAATGTAACCAATTAAGTAACTGTGAGCGTGCAAGAAATAATCACTTCAATTGCGGTCGTTTGCCAAAGCTTAATTTTAAGTTAGCTTTGCCCCTTCGTCTTCTCCCTACAAGTTAAATCTGCCTCAAAAGCTAATTCTTTTTCTCATAAATATATAAATGCCCGTACATGGATATAATTTATATGAATTGACATGGAGCGCAGCTAATCCTCATCAATCTCCCTCTACATATATACACGGATAGGATAAGTATCAATATACTCCTCCGATTCTATATATAAGACCAATTTTTAGTATTTATACTATAAAGTGAGTTTTATATTTAGAATTAGAAAAGTATATATATAATAAAATTTATAACGACTCGTGCTATTCACAAGTAGTCATAATCAATATATAACTCATTTTTCAGAACATTGTGCAATACACATAGATATATCTAGTTCAAGAAAAAAAATGAAGGAGGAAAAAAAAGAGAGATCTGTCAATTCTGTTGCATAGGCGTCAACAGTGCTTAGCTCACGGGTTTTGGTTTCCTTTGTTGAACTTTAAGCCGAAATTTTCCCACATATTTTCTCCTTCACACATAAACAAGGGAAAACAACTATCAGCCCTAGCAGCATTGCCAACGTTAGAATTTGAAGGTGAAGAACCAATCTGCCGCTGTTGGTTGACATCACAATAAACACTTGCTTGATTATATAGGGGTGACTGATTATTGGTTTCCAAGTAAAAACTAGCAGAATTTTGCTTGCGCTTCTTGTAATAGCTTCTGATACTTTCCCACTTGTCTTTGCACACGGAAGCAGCTTTATGGTAGCCAAAACAAGTCATTTTGTTGGCAACTTCCTCCCACAGAACCTCCTCCGGACACCCACTTTGCCCAAACCTGGATTCCACCTCAGCTCTCACCTGAAAGAGAGTAGTGATCTCAGATTCTGTCCAACTTTCACCAACTCTGTCAGTGCTATGTAGTATTTCACTTCCATCTTCATTCTGGTTTTCGCTGTAATTTTGAATATCAGCAGTAGTTGGATCACCAGCCCTTATTTCTCTTCCTGTTAATTTTTGCAATGCGTCCATTAAAGCTGCATCTCTGGCTTCAATCCATGCCCTCTCTTTAGCCCAAAACTTATGCTCATTATCTAACCTGGCTGCCTCTTGTCTACTCCATTCTTCCTCTCTCAGTGCCCTCTCCTTTTCCTTCTCCTCCAGTGTCTTCATTAATCTCTCCAACCATGCCTCTTGCTTCTCCATCACCTTCTTCATCTCCGAATCGATCAGCTCTTTTATCTTTACTTTCCAGCTTCTTCCTCTTCTCTTTCTCCTCTTCTCCATTGAATCATTTTCATCCGATGATGATGTGTCCACCTCAGTGGAGTTATTAGTGAGGCTCACGCTATCACAGTGCCTATTAAAAATGTCTTGGTTTGTTTGGGAGGGGGTGTGAAAGTGAAGACTGTTGCCACCCAAATTGGTTTCTTGGACTGAGGTTGGGTTGTTGCTTTCTCCATATAAGGCTTCAAGTTGGCGAAAGAATCTGTAATGCTTCCCATCTTGTCTTCCTGCCTTGCCTTCCTTTGTTTTCTTGTAATATTTATACAAGTTTTCGAATTTTTCCCTGCATTTTTTGCCGCTCCTTTGATATCCATATTCTTCGGCCATGATTCTGGACATCAAGACAAGCAAAACCAAATGATGGGCAAGGTATGGGACAAAAGGGGAAAAAAACCTAATTAACAACACAACTAATATGGTCGGAGATTAAACCCTAATAATTATAGCTTTGACTAGGAGTACCTAAAGAAGTCCATGTGAGGGTGATGCTAATTTTAGTAGTTAACAATGCTGTGCCATGCACTGACCTTTTTTATGTTCATTTCTTGCTACCCAGTTATAGCAAATACAACTAAGCATATGACAGATCTGGGACCGTTGCTACAGAGAAATGAGCTTTATGAGGGAATGGCCTCAGGCTGATGTCACTTCGTAGGATCAAATTAGATAAGAGCAAATAGGTATGCAAAGGCATCAAAAAAAGCCAAATGATCTTCAATCTGGGAGGAATAAAACAAGAATAAAAGGGAAAACTTGCACTTAAAAGAGGGGTACAAAATTTCTAGATGAGACGCGAGTCAGTGGTAGAACCGCGAGGGTATTGGTATACATAGTAAACTTAAATACTGAAGCTGCAGCATGAATAATCATGAATTGAGTAGAAAGAGAGAAATATTGTTGGAAAAGGAAGCAACTGTACGAGTGCATAGTCATTTTCCAGCGAAAGGAAGAGAAACGAAATCGTATACTCAGAAATCGATGGCTGACGACCGAAGACTCCAAGTGCAGTCATTTTTACTAATATGAAATTTGGTTGCTAGTGCTGAATCTTTGCAGCGTAAAGAATTCTAATATCATTTAACTCGGTGAAAAGAGGGGGAAAGAAGCGAGTAGCAAGGGAGAGAATGGAGCAAGAAGTGGGGAAAGTGTACCTAGAAAGTTCATCCCATAAGGGGCCCTTCTGATTGGCGTGTCTGAACTTAGAGTCAAGACGAGATCTGATCTCAAGAAGTGTTAGAGTTTCCTGTCTGGGCCATCGTGCGGTGGAGGCGTCTCCGGGGAAACCCCCAGAAGTGTCTGCCTCAAAGGCACTGAACGTGGGAGTACTGGCGGCGGCAGCGGGAGTGGCCACGGAAATGCTAGTATTAAGAGCAGAAGAATCGTGAAGGCCGCGAGGCATTATATCAGCCATCAGTTGATGACGACCAAAAGACAAGGCGTCGTAGTGGTGGGTGGGCGTCAAATTCGGGTGAGCCGGGAAGAGGTCCGCCGAGAGCGACCTCGGTGCATTCATAAGGTGCCGGAGATCCCCCATAGTACCATACTCAAGATGTTGCTGCGGATGTTGATGCGGACGATGGTGATCCTCCATTTCCATGAGAATTATCGCTGGCTGAAGAGGAAGCTAAGGGAGGAGGGGGGGAGGGAGCGGCAGAGTCGGATCGTGTCGTCCAGGAAAAAAGCTCAAATTTGAAGGGAAGGACGATGGTCCCATAGGGTATGAGTCCAAGCGTATGAGTAGTGTGTGAGGAGGGCGAGTGAGACCCTCTCTCTCATCGCCTGCTTCCTTCTGCGGGTTTGTTTTGTACGTACACAGAGGCCGCTGGGACTCCGCAGAAACACCCGACTAATAAAACTAAACCCCTAAATATATTTATTTTAATCTCTTAATTAATTGCATCTAATTAAAATTTGACGCGTGTGTTGATTAAAGTAAAATGAGCAATGGAAGACAGCCCAGTTTGGGCTCTCATGTGCTGACGCCTGTGTGATGCCTTGGATCCTCCCCTTTTGACTTCTACCAATTATTCCCTGCCTACACTCACATCATCTCCACCGTTTCCTTAACTTGTGTTTCGCATTTTCCTCAAACTGGCTAGGCACCTGCAATTGCCGCTTTCTTAATTTTGATAACAAAAAATGTGTGCCGTTGCATCATGAAAATCTGCTTGATAAATAGAATTTAGTTCATCCAGTCACGCTCTGCCATAACGATGTCTATTTTAAGATTTAATTCGTGTTTTACAAATTTTAAAAAAGAAAAAAAAACTGCAAGGGGAACAACAGAGTATGGCTCCGATGATTTTCTCAGACGGGTAAACATGCATCAATGCATGTGCTGTGTGCATTAATTCCTTTGAAAGTACTTGAGATTTAATCGTTGCGACCCGAAGACAAGTTTTTCCTTTTTCTTTAAACAAGAAAATAGGGGTAACATGGAGTGCATTAAAGGCGCAGAGCTGAATGAGTTAAAACAAACAAACAAACAAACAAAACTAAATTCCTGCTTTGCCTTTTTCTGTTGGTGTTCAGACAAGGTTCCCAATCCCTATTTAATTCATTATGAAGCTCACAAAGAGGAACTCGTCAGTCTAAGCTTCTCTCCGCACAGTGCCACAGTCTCCACGTTATCTGTAAAATCAGAAATCATTTATTCCGTGAGTTGCACCTTGAAAGAATATATAAATGTTACATGGACCTTGGAGGTTTTACTACATATTTGTGACTTATACGTGTAGTGTGGCTCCCCGGAGATTTCACATTTCGTATTGATGATATTGGTTATTAAGATCTAGCATTCGACAGTACACACCAGGCTCTGTGGTTTCCTTCTAGCTTGCCATATACGTGACGCAAGTATATGTTATTTATCCACACGAGGGAGCTAGGTAATGAAAATCAGTTCATCACTCCCTGACACTGTTTTGTTTTGGCGGGAAGAGCAGGCAACTGTTACCATCAAAATGAACATATCTGAGTCTGATCGTGGTTCCAAAATTATTTGGTTGTGATGTTTTCGAGGGGCGCGCCATCCTGGACCCCCCTGGAGCCACTGTCTTCTTCTTTCCTCACCTGTCACTGTTACTATGCTTGTGCGCGCGCGTGTGATCATAAATATCGCTGATGGAGGTGAGAGAACACGTCGAACCCATTGAATTAGAAGCTTGCAGGCTTGAGGTTAATATGATTGTAGGACCATTTAGGTTTAAATGGAGCAGCCTTGTAAAATTTAAACGGACCGGCCCATTTAAACATACTTGAATTACTAATTTTTGTTACTAAGAAAAGAGAATAGAGAAGAGAGAAGAAAAAAACTTAAAAGAGGGAAAAATAACTACTCGTATTTACCAAAGTCACTACTCGTCACTAATTAGGTGCCTCATCCTCGACCTCGTCTCAATCCGATCCTCCTCACCTCGCTCAGATCTCGATCTCGCAAGCCGCCGCCCCCCCCCCCTTCCAAAAAAAAGCCCCCGGGGGCGGGGCGGGGGGACTATAGCCCTCTGGGCTCTGAGAAGCCCAACGGTGACGGAGATGCACTCGCAGATCACGTCGTAGGATATACTCGCAGCTCTCTCTACTCTCTTCGTCATCTACTCTCTCTGGGCACATCTCTTCACCTTACATGATAATAGAATAAAACTGGATACAGACTCATTTTGGTATTCTGATTTGTGGTTTTTAGGGATGTGTTTTGCTGGGGAAGAGGGTCCCTGCTCCCTCCTCCTTCCCCTCATTTTCCCTCCCTTCCCAAATGCTTTTTTCTTATTTCTTTCAATTACTGTATTCTAACATGTGCTGTATAGATTTAAAAAAAAATCATAAAAAAGTGAAAACGAATTTATTTTTTGTTTATAAAATATTAAAATGTCACCTATTGAATATAGAATTTAGTAATTAAAAAAACATTTGAAAATGGAGGGAAAATGAGGGGGAAGCAGGGAGGGCAGTTGCTGAGCCGTATAATTTTCATATGATTTCTCAATGTTGCTAGCTAGGTATAATTTTTTCTGTTTTGTGATTTTTCTCTTCAGTGTTCTGTGTTATAACATTCTGGCTATAGGCAAGGTCGTGCTTTCTATTCAATTATCACAATCAAGTGGGTATTGGAAATTTCTGTGGAAAACATTTGCATGCTTTAGCTAGCCTGGGAACCGGGAAGATTGGAAGCTTTCTAATCTTTACTGTGTTTTTTATAATTGATTTTTTGTTTGAAATGAAAGAGATTTGCTGGATTGAATCTACTGAAATATTATACTACCTCCAGTCTTTATTATATTCCTCCGGTCCTTATTATAAGACCCAATTTGACTTTTTATTTTGTTCTAATTATAAGACCCAATCCATTTTATCTCTTATATTTATGCATTTTTTTCCAAGATAATCCTTCTAATAATGATAGTTTTAGCCAATATACTTAATTAGCAAGGATATTTTAGGAATGACAACACTTATTTATTATAAATAACCAACTTAACTTACTTCCTTAATCTCCTCAAATAAGTCAATTGGGTCTTATAATTAGGACCAGAGGAGTAAGATCCTATTTGACTTTTATTTTGGTCCTAAATATAAGACCCCAATTTATTTTGTCTCTCATATTTATCTACTTTTTTCATGATAATCCTTCTAATAATAATAATTATAGATAATAAACTTAACTAGTAGGGATATTTTAGGTGTGGCCGAGAAAAGTTCATGTAAATTATGCACCTGTTTGGATCATCTGGTGAGGGAGACTGAGGTTTGTGGCTCAGTCAAAATTTTTACATTGTTTGGGTGGGCTTTTTATCTTGGTTGCGGTGAAAAGCTCAAAATTTGAGCTTTTTGAGTTGCCACCGTAAATGGAGGAAGCAAAAGAGGATGAAAAGAAAGATAAATATATTTAAGTGATCCAACAATTTAATTATTTTTTCGGTATTAATTTTAATTATTTTTAATTTAGTGTTTTGCTTATATTTATCAAACTATATATATATATGATATGCTATTTTAGGTCTTTAATATAAGACTCGGTGGACTAATTTAAAAAGATTAATCAAGTTAAATAAATTATTTAATTATATCATATGTTATATGATCTTTTTAAAATATTTATGCATATCATTAGATTAAAAATCAATTTACAAATGAGGCAAATTAGTTTAGAGAAAAATAATACCATTTTCAATCATTTTATATCTGAACTTACTTTTTGATTACTTATCTAAACAAATTTCAATTTATCAATCTGATTTTTATAAAAATCAATCTAAACATAAATCATACTAGTAACTGACTTTTGTAAGGGCATGATACTCATCAACAAATGGAATGTCACAAAATCCGCATATAGCCCCTGTCTGTCTTTTTTAAGTCGAAGTTGATTCATCAAAAGGTTAATATTTGTGCGAGCTCTGGCTCCTCGATCAATCAGAATAGGAGTAAAGTTAGCTAGCACCAAAAAGTCTACAGTTCATTTATAATTAATATAGCTTGCAACGGGTCAAAAGCCGGTAAAGTTGGAGTCTTGGAGACTTATTATTTTATTTTTATGTATTTATTTGAGGAAAATAATATATTGAAAATGTGTAAGAAAACTCACTATTTGCTTTACTAACATGTCCATTCTTTTTTCTAAGAAATAACTAGTACAATGCTCATGTGATGCACGGGTGCAAAAAGATATTTATTTATCCCGTATAAAAGATTGACGGACGGAGATAAAATGGTTAATAACTAGAAAGTCGCATACTTGATTCAACAATTACACAGGAAAAATGATATTTTCTTCTGTATTATAAAAGCAGCTTGCGTGACTCATCGTCAAATTACAACACAATATCAAAGTTTTCAAAATTATACAATTTTTACAAATTCATTATCAACATTTTAAACTAATGTATATTATAAAGCTAAAATTTTAAATAATTCAACCAATAGATTCAAATAAAAATAATTACTCATGATGTATGAATTCTAAGTTTTTTAAACTTTAAATAATACATACGATATCATGTGCTTAAACAATCGCATATCGCCACCACGTTTGGAAATTGGAAGCCGCTACTAATTCAGGATACAGAACCCCTCGGCCCTAACCCTCCCTCCTTCTCCCTCGTGTAAATTGTTTCTTTTATAATATATTAATATGCAATTTAATATCTAACTTATCTTAAAATTTTAATTCCAAATATCTAAAATAAAATAATTTAAAATTTGAAATAAAATTCAAAGTCCACACAAATCCATAAACAAATGAATATGCAGGTTTACACACCCGTAAAAAAGTTTAAAATCTTTCTTCTAATTCCAAAATATAAAATAAATCTTGAATCAAAACAATTCAATCAATAAATTTAAAAATAGAAATAATTCATTGGGTTCATAAGTTGATGTATTAAAAAAATATTTAACTTTTAAATTTAACTAATACATGAGAAGTTAAAATAACTGCAAAGTGAAAGAAAAATTGAGATTAGAAATTAAAATAACTACGTGATCGCCTGAGGATGTACCGTCTGCTGCGTAGCTTCTTTCACATTAATTATGACCCACATGTATTGTTTCCGGTGGTCGAAAAATAAAAATGAAAAAACAGTAATTGCGCCTATGC